AATCCTATGTTGACTTTCTCAGAGATTCTGTTTCATCCTTTCTGGGGAGATGACATTTTCGAGTTTTATTTTATTGATAACTGGGGATACATGGCATGTCATTTCTTGTGTATACAATGTTTTCAGGTTTGAGTTTTATAAGGAGGAATACAGATACTATTCCTTTATACTTCAGACAACTCCGAACATTCATTAGGGATACCAGTGAATAAGAGGTCGTTATGCTAATACAACGAGGGAGTTGTATCGTTTTTTTTTTTTTTATGTCTTTAGAATTATTGACTATTAGTTATTGTATGCATGTCACGTTTTCATTATACTGCATGAATTTTATGATGTTACTTGTTATGTTGTATGCTTTCATTACGTGGCTAGATGTTCACATAAGGTTTAGTTAGGTAGCGGGTATAATTAGAGTAGTTTTTATAAATTGAAGATAGGAAACAATTTTGTTAAAAGTGTGAAGGCGAATGTAATGAAATATAGGCAGAAAGGGGTTAAATGAACAAGCATACATTTCAGACCACCACACGGCGTACTAATCCATCACTGTGTGAAATGACAGAACTAGGTGATTAGAAAGCCCATGGCCTAGCCAGCTATGCAGAACACACACACCGCCATGACATCTGACAGTGAGGGATGAAACATTCGACGGGTGCCCGTGAACTGTGACCAGCGGATGAGATACGTTCATCCAGACGTGACCACCAAAGACAGGTGACAGAGAAGTGATGGAGAAGGTACGCCAGGAGGAGCGGGAAAGCGGGAATAAAGTCAGAGCCAGGGGCTTGAGAAGTGAGTTAGCCCCGGGACCGCTTGAGAGGTTAGTTAGTCCCGGAACCGCTGGAGAGGACAGTTAGCCACGGAACCGCTTGATAGGACAGGTTAGGGCTGAACCGCTGGAAAGACCGGTTAGGAGAAAACTAGTGATTTACTTCGTTTAGAAGGTATATGTTAACTTGGAGTTTAGCTAGAACAGTGGTTAAGGAACTCGTAGAGAGTCATACGAATAGCCTGTATCCAGATAATACAGTGTTCATATACTATTGAATTTATGAAGCCTCTATGACTGGAATATTGTAAATAAACAGCTCTTGTGTAATTGTTACATCACTGGCCTTGTTCTTGAGTACGATTGAAGAGAGATACGAACTATATTCATTCACTTGGCCGACTTAGGCACATCTATTTCTTTGGGGATGTATAGGCACGACTGTGCCACAGTAAGTGGTACTATGTGTAAGTGGTACTATGTGTAAGTGGTACTATGTGTAGGTGGTACTTTACTATGTATAAGTGGTACTATGTGTAAGTGGTACTATGTGTAAGTGGTTCTCTACTATGTGTAAGTAGTACTATGTGTAAGTGGTACTATGTGTAAGTGGTACTATGTGTAAGTGGTACTATGTGTAAGTGGTACTATGTGCAACTATATCTGCGTGTTAGCACTTCCACTTGAGTCCAAATGGTACTGAGCATTGGTTTTGACTGTGGGACAGACTGCACAGTGGGATATGAGATTTTGTTTTGTTCCTCACCTCTTGTAAGTTCTCTCCAGCCTCTCATTCTCCAGCTGGTACTGGCGGACATCGTTGATGACATTCAGGAGGATGTTCTCGAACTGAGTCACAAGTTCTGGCTTGTCCACACCATGCAGGTTTTGATACAGCTCACAGACTTCCTCCTGGCTACCAGAGTGGAACATGAGAAGTAGCAGTGGGGACAACTATGAAGTCATGAGCATTCAGACAGTTATTCCTAACGGAAATGTACATATAAACATTCAGTCGGTTAGTGTAAGTGGAAACTATACACATCAACATACAGTCGGTTACTGTAAGCGGAAACTATTCATATCAACATTCAGTCGGTTATTAGTGGAAATTATACACATCAACATACAGTCGGTTACTGTAAGCGGAAACTATACACATCAACAAACAGTCGGTTACTGCAAGAAGAAACAATACACATTAACATTCAGTCGGTTACTCCAAGTGGAAACTATACACATCAATATTTAATCGGTTACTGCAAGCAAAAACTATACACATCAACATTTAGTCGGTTACTGCAAGCAGAAACTTTACAAATCAAAATTTACAGTCATTCAATGCTATCGTTGTTTTTTCCTTGTGGCAGACACAACAAATATGATATAGTGATCAACGAGAATCTAAATGTGGACACAGTCTCTACTTGAGCTGAGTTATCATCACAGCATTCCGGACACGTCTGTAGGTGCTCATATTGTCACTTCACTATATACATCACCGTCCCACGGTTAATAGTGCCAGTCATATGCTAGTTAACAAGACCTAATGTACGTCCGGTGTGCCTCTCATTGTTGGCTGTGCCGACCTTTCCTCCTAATTCCACTGCTGCCAAAATCTTCAGATCGTCCTATCTCTTCAGTGTCATTAACAATGTCAGTACGATCCATAGACTAACCATCCGCAACTAAGGCAGAACCGGCCAGTCTGTCAGTTCTTTCATTGCCAACAACACCTGCATTTCATTGGACACAGATGGAGTGGAGTTAACTGCATGCATATGGGAGTTTCGCAATGAGTCAATAAACTGTCTGTGTAAGGAGCCAAACACCCAGCGAACACACACGTGTTTTCCACCTCCATCACCTAATCATCATGTTGCTGGTAATCACAAAGAACACAGTTGGCTTCCTGATCTGTTTTGCCTTCACAGAGAACTGTGAATGCTCATCCACTCTTTTATCCTCTTACAACGGATCCATCTGTATAGGTCAGCACATATGTCTCATCTGCCTTGACACTGATGAGCAAGTGCACCTCGGCGTCGACAGCAATAGCATTCTGCTTCAAACAACTAGCTGGTATTTGTATTTTAAATTGAATGTGTTGCAAAGAGTAACTACTTGTTGTGAGTTGGTTGGGAGGAATATTGATAGTAAAAACAAAACAAAAAATACATTTCATATTTCATAAGTAACGTTGATAAAACTGGCTCACCAAGAGAAATGATTGCCCACATCAGAAGGAGACAATCTACATTCGTTGCTTATGTTATGAGAAGTAGACAACTGTTGGACATGGTGACAGTGGGAAAGTTGAAGCGAGAAAGAAGCAGAGGGAGATCGAGAGAGAAGATGCTGGAAAGTTTGACATCATGGCATGGACGATCATCTATGTCGGACCAAATTGAAAGTTTACAAGATAAACGGCTGTGAGACCGTTTCAACATAAAAAATATGCTGGCCAATGAGAAGTGAAGAAAGTAACAGGTGAACACAGGCCCCATTTTAGGAAAGATGATATCTCGTTTACAGGGGCTTCCTATTAAAGTTAAACTCCTATCGAATGTTTCAAAGATAGCTACACCTCTGTATATATTTCTTCGTCTTCTTCTACTTTCTATCTTCCAAAGGAGCATAGGCTCTCAACTAACTCACATCAAGCGGTAACATGAATATATTATACCAAATGTGTTGAATGTAAACTGAAACAATATCGACATTGTCGTTGGACCTACACCTGGTGTCAGTTGTCAGTCATAATTACCATAGGTTGCTACGTTCTCTGGACATAAGTCTAGCTACGTAATCTTGATTACTTTCTTATGTGTATGTGAGGGATGACATAACATGTAAAAGAAGACCACCTAGCATATACTATAGGAAGAAGGACGTTAGACAATTCTTAACTCTTTGAAAATTAAGTTCTTTCGTTCCTTCATTCGCTTATTTGTTCACGCTCACGAAATGCTTTAAGATGACCGGATCTACATTACTTCATTGGCGATTGTTTTGCTCGGTAGATAGGTTTGGCTTAAATCTTGAAGTAACGACGTCACAGATTACTGCAATATTTTGTTCAAAATATCAAGGAAAACACTTTCTATTCTTGAATCGATAAGTGTGAGGTTTGTCATATAATCTGACTGCTTGCTGGTATTATGTGGTGGGCTGCAACAATAAACTATGGGCGGCGAACCGACGACAGATGGTTGGCGTCTTCAATATTGCTGGATAAATCCGACGATAGAGCCAATTTGACAAGGTATGTTAGCGGGAAGTCTCCCAGCTTTTAACGTGTGGGCTGAAGTTTGGATCCATAATTTTACCCTAGTGGTAAATATAATTTTCCAAATGCAGTAAAATGTAAAAGAAGATTGATGCATAAAGTAGGTACACAAATAGATCTAGTATGCGGTCAGAGCCGGTTTCTGTGGTTCAGGCGTTGAGAACACATTTAGTAGTTAGGTTGAGTTGTGTTGAGCTGGAACAAGAATTGAATCTCAGAACTCAGGGCATTATCCCTGCATGCTCCCTCCTCATCTTCAGCAGCTAGCGCAGAGTTCCAATACTGGTGGTACAGGTTACAGTCTGCTTCTTTAGTAATTCCGAAGTACCAGGTTAGATTCCAGCTGAGGGCGATTTTGCAGAAAGCCTTCTTTAGTTGATTTCAGCATGGGTATCGAGTGCGGACCGTGCAGTGAGCAAGGGCAAACTACTGAAAGTAACACTGCCAATTAAAACATTGAACAGCCAAGATAGGGTTGGCTCTGCGCCGTCCTGCAAAAGATACGGTGAGGTCTCTGGGTGCAGCAAGTCATACATTATTCTTGCAGTTCTATTCTACTTCCGTAGAAGGTCATGGACTAATCAGGAGAAACTTGTGAATACTCTCCGAGACCTCACAAACAAATGACAGTGACTTGAGGTTAGTTAGTTAGTTAGTTAGTTAGTTAGTTAGTTAGTTAGTTAGTTAGTTAGTTAGTTAGTTAGTTAGTTAGTTAGTTAGTTAGTTAGTTAGTTAGTTAGTTAGTTAGTTAGTTAGTTAGTTAGTTAGTTAGTTGGGTTATCATCATTACACTCCGGACATGTCCATAGGTGCTCAGATTCTCCCCTCAGTATGAACCACAACGTCCGATGGTTAATAGTACCAGCTCTATGTTGATTAACAAGTCTTCTGGTGTCTGGTGTGCTAGTTTTTTGCTATGCCGATCTTAATTTCCAAATCTGCCATTCTGGCGAGAGATTTCGATTCACTGCCCTCAAAGTTCTCTATCTTTCCCATTGCTCTTAGGGCATTATTAATATCAGCATGATCCATAGACTGACCGTGATAGCGGATCCAGCCAACCTATCAGCTCTTTCATTTCCATCGACGCCTGCGTGTCCCGGAACAAAAATAAAGGTGACTCCACGCACAGTGGACTTCTGTAATGATTCAAGCCAATGTCTTCGCACCAATCCTGCAGGAACCCTCCGGATCACACTAATTGAATCACTGAGCATACATACGCGGGTGTATTTTTGTGTTTCGAGCCAGGCGAACGCTTGCGTCACTGCGATCTATAGTAACTTGAGCCCTCAGTGTCAACGATCATGTCACTTACTTAGAACATGCTAGAACCTTCAAGAACATGCACATAGGTTAGTTATACTTACCAAGACAACGCCCGAAGTCCTTCGTCCAGGCTATTTGTGTACTCGTCAGCTTGGTTCGTCCCATCCTCTCTGTCAATCAAATTGTCCTCAGACTTAGCACTAGCAAGCTTTTGCCGAAACAACTGTCTTTTCCTGGTTTCTTTGGCCATGACGATTTCTCTACGGACAAGAGAAGGCACATTTACAACCGATAAATTAACAAGAGAGAAGAATCTGACTAAACATACAGCTCGTTTATCCATGGTGATTTCACTATGACATGAAACTAAACACAGAGCTCGCTTATCCATGGTGATTTCACGATGACATTAAACACAGAGCTCGTTCGTCCAAGGTGATTTCACTATGACATGAAACTAAACACAGAGCTCGCTTATCCATGGTGATTTCACTGTGACATGAAACTAAACATAGAGCTCGTTCGTCCATGGTGATTTCACTGTGACAAGAAACTAAACATAGAGCTCGTTCGCTCATGGTGATTTCACTGTTATACGAAACTGAACACAGAGCTCCTTCGTCCATGGTGATTTCACGATGACATGAAACACAGAGCTCGTTTGTCCATGGTGATTTCACTATGACATGAAACTAACACAGAGCTCGTTCGTCCAAGGTGATGTCACTATAACATGAAACACAGAGCGCGTTTGTCCATGGTGATTTTACTGTGACATGAAACTAAACATAGAGCTCGTTCGTCCATGGTGATGTCACTATGATATGAAACTAACACAGAGCTCCTTCGTCCATTATGATTTCACTGTGATATGAAACTAAACACAGAGCTTGTTTATCCATCGTGATTTCACTATGACATGAAACTAACACAGAGCTCGTTTATCTATATTGATTTCACTAAGACATGCAACATAGAGCTCGTTCGTCCATGGCGATTTCACAATGACATGAAACTAAAACGGAGCTCGTTTATTCATGGTGATTTCACTATGACATGAAACTAACACAGAGCTCGATTATCTATATTGATTTCACTATGACATTAAATTAACACAGAGCTCGTTTATCCATGGTGATTTTACCATGACATGAAACACACAGCTCGTTTGTCTATGGTAATTTCACTATGACATGAAACACAAAGCTCGTTTATCCATGTTGATTTCACCATGACATAGAACTAACGCAGTACCAGATACCGTGTTGGACAGTCAGAAGCTTCAAGTACCAGATACCATGTTGGACAGTCAAAAGCTACCAGTACCAGATACTGTGTTGGACAGTCACAGGCTATCAGTACCAGATACCGTGTTGGTCAGTCAAAAGATACCAGTACCAGATACCGTGTTGGACAGTCAGAAGCTACAAGTACCAGATACCATGTTGGACAGTCAAAAGCTACCAGTACCAGATACTGTGTTGGACAGTCACAGGCTATCAGTACCAGATACCGTGTTGGACAGTCAAAAGATACCAGTACCAGATACCGTGTTGGACAGTCAAAAGCTACCAGTACCAGATACCATGTTGGACAGTCAGAAGCTACAATTACCAGATACCATGTTGGACAGTCACAAGCTACCAGTACCAGATACCATGTTGGACAGTCACAGGCTACAAGAACCACTGATCCTGCGTAGGTACAATCTGTGTAATTGCAATATCAGCTGTTGCCAGGTGAGGACAATTTCCTGTCACCCCGCTACACACACGTACAAACACTAACACACTCTCATACACACACACACACACACACACACACACACACACACTTAGACACGCTTAGACACTTTTATACATTTTGCTATGTTCAAAAGCTGGGGAGAAACACACACACATTTTTGTCATCAACCCCCACCCCTTGCAGAGATTCCCCCCCCCCATAAGTGAGACAGATGTGTGTTAACCTTTTTTTTCCTTCTCACGTGATAACACAAGGTAGTGATAAGTTTGCAGGCCAGAAAAACGCTCGACGGAATCACGCTGCTTGTTTTATAGTGTACAGGGTTGGTGCATTCCTTGAACAAGTTAATAAATACAACAATCTTGAAACAGTCACATCTGATGCCTGACACCTTGCAGAGATTAGATCAGGAATCGCCATGGGAAAAAATGGCCTTGAGTAAAACTTTTAAAAGGCAATAAGATGTTAACGTGCAGTGAGACAGATGTGTGTTAACGTGCAGTGAGACAGGTGTGTGTTACCGTACAGTGAGATAGATGTTTGTTAACATACAGTCAGTCAGATGTGTGTTAACATGCAGTGAGTACAGAAGATGTGTGTTAACGTGCAGTGAGACAGTTAGAACAGGTGTGTGTTGTTACCGTACAGTGAGACAGATGTGTGTTAGACAGATGTGTGTTAGACGATGTGTGTTAACGTACAGTGAGACAGATGTGTGTTAATGTGCAGTGAGACAGATGTGTGTTAAAGTACAGTGAGACAGATGTGTGTTAAAGTACAGTGAGACAGAAATGTGTTACCAGTGAGACATATGTGTGTTAGTGTGAGACAGATGTGTGTTACAGGTGAGACAGATGTGTGTTAACAGATGTGTGTTAACCTGCAGTAAGACAGGTGTGTGTTACCGTACAGTGAGATAAGACAGATGTGTGTGACGTGTGTAACATGCAGTCAGTGTTACAGTTGTGTGTTAGCGTAAGTGAGATAGATGCAGTGACACAGATGTGTGTTAACGTACAGTGTGAGATAGATAACGTACGGTGAGACAGATGTGTGTTAACGTACATGCAGACAGAGATGTGTTAACGTACACTGAGACAGATGTGTGTTAACGTACAGTGAGACAGATGTGTGTTAACATGCAGTCAGACAGATGTGTGTTAAAGTACAGTGAGACAGATGTGTGTGTTACCGTGCAACTAGACAGGTGTGTGTTAACGTGCAGTGAGACAGATGTGTTACCGTGCAATGAGACAGATGTGTGTTAACGTACAATGAGACAGATGTGTGTTAATGTGCAGTGAGACAGATGTGTGTTAACGTACAGTGAGACAGATGTGTGTAAACGTACAGTGAGACAGGTGCAAAACTACAGTGAGACAGATATGACCGTGCAGTGAGACAGATGTGTGTTACCGTACAGTGAGACAGATGTGTTACCGTGAGATGTGTGTTAGACGTACAGTGAGTGAGAAGATGTGTGTTAACTACAGTGAGACAGATGTGTGTTAACGTGCAGTGAGACAGGTGTGTGTTAACGTACAGTGAGATAGATGTGTGTTAACATGCAGTCAGTCAGATGTGTGTTAACATGCAGTGAGACAGAAGTGTTAACGTACAGTTAGAAAGGTGTGTGTTTACATGCAATGAGACAGATGTGTGTTAAAGTACAGTGAGACAGATGTGTGTTAAAGTACAGTGAGACAGAAATGTGTTACCGTGTAGTGAGACAGGTGTGTGTTAACCTGCAGTAAGAGACCGTACAGTGATAGTGTGTGTTAACATGTACAGTGTGTGTTAACATGCAGTGAGACAGAAGTAACTTGTGTGTGTGTGTTTACATGCATGAGATAGTGAGTCAGACAGATTTGTGTATACATGCAGACAGAAGTGAATGTACAGATGATGTGTGTTTAACGTACACAGATGTGTGAGTGCAGTGAGACAGATGTGTGTTAACGTACAGTGAGACAGATGTGTGTTAACGTACAGTGAGAAAGATGTGTGTTAACGTGCATTGAGACAGATGTGTGTTAACGTACAGTGAGACAGATGTGTGTTAACGTGCATTGAGACAGATGTGTGTTAACGTGCAGTGAGACAGATGTGTTAACGTACAGTGAGACAGATGTGTGTTAACGTACAGTGAGACAGATGTGTGTTAACGTACAGTGAGACAGATGTGTGTTAACGTACAGTGAGACAGATGTGTGTTAACGTACAGTGAGACAGATGTGTGTTAACGTACAGTGAGACAGATGTGTGTTAATGTGCAGTGAGACAGATGTGTGTTAATTTGCAGTGAGACAGATGTGTATTAACGTACAGTGAGACAGATGTGTGTTAATGTGCAGTGAGACAGATGTGTGTTAACGTATAGTGAGACAGGTGTGTGTTAATGTGCAGTGAGACAGATGTGTGTTAACGTACAGTGAGACAGGTGTGTGTTAATGTGCACTGAGACAGATGTGTGTTAACGTATATTGAGACAGGTGTGTGTTAACGTGCAGTGAGACAGATGTGTGTTAACGTGCAGTAAGACAGATGTGTGTTAACGTGCAGTGAGACAGATGTGTTTTAACGTGCAGAGACAGATGTGTGTTAATGTACAGTGAGACTAATGTGTGAACCTGTTTTGTCATATGTATGTGATACACGGGCAGTACGCAAACTAAGAAACATTTACTTGTCACAGAAATTTAGTTTGTGAGAATAATGCAACAAATATCAATAAATGGCAGAAAAACAAATGAAGTCGTCCTCGTCGAGTCAAACACAAGCAATAAACTTATTAGAACAATTAGACGTAAGACAGTCGGTTTTTGTGGGCTTTGTATGTGAGGGAATGGACTAGAAAACAGTGACAACCGGCAAGGCTGGCGGGAAAATATCAATAGGAAGGCAAAGAGATAAATACCTGTATGGCTTCGCGAGAAGGATGGAGCGAGGATAGAACACAGACTTGGTGCGTCATTATGGTGATCGTGCGAGTTTGTGAAACACAGCACGCGAGGATGATGCTTCTGAAGATGATGAGTATGATGACGATGATGTTGATGACGATGATGATAGAGATACGAACACACGATAAGGCTATATTGGTAGTTACTGCTCTACATGGTTGTGGGGAGGGGGGTGAACTTATCCGATTAACTGACTAAGGTGCAAAAAGTGAGCATTCACAAGTGAGGACTTTTATGTTTTAATGAGAATAATGTGAAGATTTATGAAATGAAGAACATCTTATGCAATATATCTCTGTCTATGAGAGTTAGAAAAAGAATTCTTGCTTGCTATATACACCCAGTTTTAACATATAGCTGTGAATCCTGGACAATTGGTAGGCAGGCCAAACCATTTCTTGAGGCCTCAGAGATGTTGTTTTACAGAAAAATGCTTAGAATACCTTGAACAGCCAAAAAAAAAAAAAAAAAACCAAGAGGTTTTGAAAGAGGCGGGAGCCCGAAGACAACTTATCACAGACATCAGAAGGAAACAGACATCATTTTTCGGCTATGTTATGAGAAGAGGGAAAATAGAACATGTTGTGACCACTGGACAGATCTGTGGAAGGAGAGATAGAGGAAGACAACGAGAGAAGATGCTTGACAGTCTTGTTGCATGGCATGGAGATGTGTCGGCACACGAACTGATACACGCTGCAGGAGATTGCAGATTGTGGAGAGGCATGATCGCCCACGCCATTCGGCAACGCACCTGATGATGATGAATGTGAAATTAAAAGACACAACGGAATTGACTGATTGTAAATACCTGTATCCTTTAGCGAACTCCTCTATGCTAATCCTGCCATCCTGATCCTTGTCCAGCTGTTTAAAAACGTCATTGAGGTCACTAACGGTCAGACCGCTACACATGGAGGCCAGCTCCTCTTGGTCCAGGTATCCTGATCCATCCAGATCGTAAGTTTGAAATAACCGATCCAGCTGATCCTGGTCAGACGTGGTCATTGTGGTGAGGATAATCCCTTGGATTTGACAGTCCAGTCAATGATGGACAGTCCAGTCAATGATTGACAGTCCAGTCAATGACTGACAGTCCGGTCAGTGGCATCAGGTGACAACTGGACACTTACGACTTGCCGACTTGGCTGAAAGGCGAAACAACCGGAAAACAGTTTGAACATAATTAAGTTTAGAAAGTGATAAAGGTGAAAATAGAACAGTGAAATAAAAACTGCATCTATATCCATATGATGCCAAATACCACAGCAAATATAAAATGAAAAAGCAATGTTAAAGGTTTCTTTAGCTTTTCTGTAAGTCGACTAAATTAAATGAACCCCTATTTCACGTCTTCAGGCGTTGTGGGCATATAGGGCTAGACCTATATTTTATAGACCAATCAACAATCGGTGGGTGATGTGGTCAGCATCACGCGGCCACATTTACTTTCCAGGACTGTACCTGATACCCACTCAAAGCTGGGTCCACCTGGGAGTCAAGTCATTCTTGAAAAAAGTTCGGTCTTGGCAGGATTTGAACCCACGATACTCAGATCCGCAGGGGAGCGTAAAGCCGCAGCTTAACAGAGAGCCATTCTAAAACACTGAGCATGAAATGTGGGACGTCACTGCCACTGATGCTATGTTGACAATAACAGCAGTTGAGAGCGGACTAGTCTAGTCAAGTATTGATCTACTAGCATATATCCAATATAACAGAAGGCGAGGAAAGATCTGGAAAGTGCAAATATGGAAGGACAGAAACAAAGTCAAAAGATGGAAAATCAGAAAGATGGATAGTCGAAAGATATAAGGTCAAAAGATGGAAAATCAGAAAGATGCATGGTCATACAGATGAAAAGTCAGAAAGATGGACAGTGGAATGATGGAAAGTCAAAAGATGTAAAATCAGAAATATGCATGTTCGTATAGATGAAAAGTCAGAAAGATGGACGGTCATATAGAGGAAAAGTCAGAAGGTCAACGCGGGTTCCCTCTGACACTGACAAGCTAACAATGGAAGTGAGTTTCTAGAGATGGTCAGCGCTGGTACCAACATGTGCCACTGCCGAACTACTTCTATGGCATGCTGGTGTGTGTACACATGGGCTGGGCAAGAGAACATGGCGGTCGTGCCGGGGTGGGGTTGAGTACGCAACATCAACAAAACGGTTCTTCTGTGTGATCATGTCAGACAAGACGACTGCCTAGAAAGAATATGCACGAACACAAGCAAGGTATTTACTGTGGAAAGTGTACCCGATCGGTGGTTTAAATTTGCGATGGTGCATTGTCGAAACGTATTCGTACTTCGTTGAAGACTAAACACTCAAAGTCCTGTACCTAGTGCAATGGCTAGCCTACTTCGCTGGCTCACCCAATGGAAGCGCTGAGTAATCTAAGAAGGTTCTGATTGAAGTATATGTGTAATTTACTAGTAAAGTGCAACTCCAGTTTTCGTCATTATTTCGTTCCTGAGGAGAGGACAAATATTAGAGTTTTTCGCAAAGTAAATAATTAATATCCTTGAATATCAAGGAGAACTGGCTCATAAACAGCATCCTGTCCCGAAAGTTAAAGTATTTTGGCCACATCAAGCATCATGGTGGCTGGAGAAAGACAGTGATGGAAGGTGCAGTCTGTGGAAGGCGAGGCAGGGGTCGACCACAGCGAAGATGGATACAAGACATTGAGGATGCATTAGCACTGAAAGCACATGGGACCGGAGAGCTGGCTAGAAAAAGGGATACTTTCAGGCGTTTTGTGAAGAGAGCGACGTTCTGTAAAGGACTTGCTGACTGATGATGATGAAAAAAAACTAAACATGGTCTAATCCGTCCCAGCCAAGAATGTTGCGTATCTAATCTTTAAAACAATAAGAACAACATCAAAAACACGCAATTCACTCGAAAATCAATCTAGGATATCATCGCAAAAAACATTATGACTGACTGACTTTCTACCTCACAAGGACATCACACAAGTGACAAACACTCGATGACACAAAGTGCCACCATGTGGGTGAGGATCACCGTGGAAAGGTCCCAGAAACCGCGTTCAGCCTCCATGTCACATTTATGGCCAGGCTATATTGCGGCCCCTGGCAACAGCCAGAGTAGGGCTTCAAATAACGAAAAATTTCAACCTGAAAAGGACGTATTGTATTAACTAAAACACCCCCCCCCCCCACCCCCAAAAAACATTATATAGTAATGTTCGTATTTATTATGCTTAATCATGATGACAGTGATTTACTTATACTGGTGACGTAAATTTGCTATAGGCCTAAGAAATACATAAATACGAATTTAAAAAAGAAGTTTGCCCTTAGGATGAAAAAAATATATGTTGTTTGGAAGGAGAGCTACCTGCAACCATGACATCAGGTAATGTCACTTCTGGTGACTGGTGTCCTAATGAGTCATCAGTATCTCAAAACTATTCAGCAATTTTTATTTTATTTTTATTTTAAGAAGTTATATAATGATTTTTAAAAACTTATTCCTAAAGTGTCTAAACACATTGTAATCAAAATATTTCATGCGTGGATTAACAATAGCGATGTTCGATCGTCATTTCTCGATAAAAACCTCCAGTTTTGCCTAAATGGACAACCATTCGCTAATGTCAGCACTTGGAACTGGCCAATCATCTTCTCACCTGCTACATCGGAGAGGATCGAATATAAACTTTTCTGGCGAAAATCAAACATACATTTAAGTGGAATAAAAACGACAGGACACATTTTTTTAAAGACGAATATTGGCGCGGACGACTATTGCAGTTCACTGCACTTGTATCCTTACTGTCTGTGACTCACTCAAAAGTGTTCGTTTGCTTTTCAAATAAATCTTTGTTACTTGTGTTAGTTTTCTCTGACACACCAGTTATTTTACCTCTATAGGTGAGCTAATGTACTTTTGTACTCGTTACCTACAACTTAACAAACATGTGAACATTAATGTACAAAATGATTGTTAATATTGCAGATGTCTAGGCTAGGCGGTGTCAGCCATCGGAACATATTAGACAGAAGTACACATAATCGCCAGAAAAATAATGATTTATTCAAGAATGAGCAACAATCTGAAAAACACAAATAATAGAACAAGTACAACAATGACTGAAAGGATATAATTTCGTCGCCCAGCTACTGAGCTGAGTGCATGGTGCGACCCTGTGAGCTGCGGATTTCATTTGGAATTTTTATCGACTGTGACCAACGTGGTGTTGTGAATTGTAGATTCAGAAAATGGCGCGTGGCCTGTCGTCGCAATATTAGTGGTGCCCTTATATGATTAAAATTGATCGCGTGTGCAACTGCTGATTTGTTGGTTACCTCTGCTATCGTCGATGATGTACTACATTTCTAATGTCGGACTGTATGTGTTAGCACTTCTGGTGGCTACGTATGCTTTTAATATGTTTGTATGCTAGTGCATATGCCGATACAGCAGTCTGTCAATCTCTCCGCAAGGGACTGTGATAAACATACTGTGTGATTTTCTTTGGCACAGGAGCGGAGCAACTATGGGTCGACCCGTTTGCTGTGAAGCCGAAACTAACATAACATAACAAGTACAACAATCTTGGAACCGAAAAGCTGAATGTGGTATGTTATGGCTTATTAATGTAAATTCCCTTATGTAGAGCGGGAAACAGCAATTTTCGTCCTCTTGCCAATTTCTCTTTTGCTTAGAAACCCTCGGTTTATGGTCTGGTAAAGTATCAAAGACGCTGCTTTTCAATATGCCAGCGCTGCCTTAAAGCCTTCATTTAGGTCTATTACATTTCCAAGGTATTTGAACTCGCTGACCTGCTTCAAATTGTACAGATAGAACTACAAAGGTCAGATTTTTAAGAGCATGCATCTTTCCCATTGCAACATACGCCTGTGAGACCTGGACACTTACTAAACAAGCGGAACAGCGCATAAATGCATTTGAATATAAATGTTACAGACAGGTTGTAAGAATATCTTGGGTAAAGAAAAGAACAAATGCATCCATACTTCAAGAGCTGAATTTGAAGAGGGTTGGCTAGTAAAGACAATAAAACAAAGAAAATTGAAATATTTTGGTCACTTGAAACGTCATGGAAGTCTAGAGAGAACAATAATGGAGGGGTATATGCCTGGGAAGAGAGGAAGAGGAAGGCCAAGGAGAAGATGGGTGCAGGATGTGGCAGATGATCTCCAGATGGGTGTATCAGACGCAGGACATCTTGCTCAGGATAGGAAGGTTTTCCGGAGGGTTGTTATGGCAGCGAGGTTCCGCGAGGGACATGCTACTGAATGAATGAATGAATGAATGACCTGCTTCAGTGCACTGTACCTACAGGATCTGGTGTTTCTTCACCCCTCATGGTTTTAGTTTTGGAGATACTGGTGGTCATCCCTCTTTTTTGAAGCTGTTCCTTCCAGACAAGTAAGTTGGGCTGAAGATTTAGTTATTAGGGCCACATCTTCCTCAAAAGTCAGCTCTGATATACAGATTGTTCTCCCCCCAACCCCCACAAATATTGTGTGGGACCGCGAACCCCCAGGCGCCCATGAGGTAGACTTGACAGATTAGCAGTACATACAAATACGTTGTGAACAGACTTCATCACCAACGCCACACGATGCAGACTATGAGATAATTAATAACCCTAGGCTACTGTGGTAGGAAACAGAGCATGGCTTGTAGTTTGAAGAACATTGATAACTATGGACTCAGTCACTTACTTACACGGTAAAAGTGTGACTTCTGTCCAGTCAGTCAACTGATGAATGTCTCCGCCTGTTTGTGTGAAAACGAAACTGACAAGTGCTGAAACAATGACTCTTAATCCTGGATACGACAAACATGGACAGCGATGTGTGCAACTACTGCTGGAGTGTTTCACCAGCTGATAGCCGACTTGTTGCTCGTCTGACTCATAGCTCGGTCTGATCGATTCTAGCGACTATATTTCATTCTCACATACCTGTCCTTACCTTAAAGGACTGTAGGGTGCACCTGGCTA